TAAATGTTTCCCTTTGATATGATATTTTTCTAACACTAATGAAAATCATCCGATACAAGATTGATTATTTTCAGATAATATTTTTAATTTGTTGGAGTATTGGGTATAAATCACAAAGTATTGTGTTAAAGTACAGCATTGGCACAAAGCTGTGACTTTGAGTTGATAAAGAACTGACAGATCTACTGTCACAGTCAAACAAACTTGATTTAAAACCTTTTATAATCAGTCTAACATTTCAAAAGTGTTTTATTTAATAAAATAAAATCAAGCCTGATCAGTCATCATCGTTCTCTTTGATTACTTTTTAACTTCTTACTTCTGGAGTGATGTGTTAGCATCATATTGGTACTTTCCTGGTCTGACAAACGTGTAGTCATAAACTGTAAAGTGACTGTACCTGTGCCTCTCTCACTTGGTGTGTTTGTCTGAATGTGGCTGAATATTTCCTGAGTATTTACTTGCGACTGTGTATTACATTAATTCACATCATTTGCTGTTGTGAATATTAAAGAATGCAAAAAATAAAATGATGATACAATGAAGTGCAGCACAGGTTTTCAATGTCCCACAGTGATGCACAGAAGGTTTAAAATCTGCAACTGTGTGTTTCTTTTTGTGCGTGTGTGTATGACAGTCAGAGCCTTTATGACAACAACAGGTGGTCATTCTGACACCACTGCCACTGCCACATTTTTTGGAGGAGAGTGAGAACAACAAACACGACATACAAACACCACTTCTCATCCAGAGAAGAAAACACATCAAACTCCGAACCACAGGAAGTGGTTTATACACAATTTAACATCCTGCTTAGCCAGTAAATGTTTCTCTCTAACACACACACACAATCACACTCTATATATTATATATACAGCATATACATATATATATATGAGGTATATATGTATTGTAAACAAATATAAAAAATGTCTATTCAGCTGGTGCATCTGTCACACAAACAGCCAAAAATATTTACAGCAACTCAACGCTGGGTGCTGTAGTTGATGCCCTGCAGGTGTACTGTGTGTCTTGTAAGACAAGTACCTGCTTCAGAAAGAACACAGTGACATTTACATAGTACTCTGCCTTTCAGCCACTTTGTCCCTGATTTCATCTCCTCCATTGTCTCCAGCTCTCTGACGGTGCCAGCTCTTTTAAGTCGTGGGTATGCTGGGCATGGCCAGAATGATGACGCTATCAAATGTCTCTGGCCTGACTATGACACCAGCTGCAGCTTTACACTACACACACAGAGGGCTGTAATAGCACGCCATGTGAGCAGAGTTGAAAGAATTACAGGGTCAATGCAGAGTGTGTGCCAACAGCCCGAGCCAGAGAGTCTGATTTTAAGTCTCTTTGCAGAACATACACAACATTAACCTGCCCTAACAAGGAAATGACTCATTGATTTTTTTATATTAAAATGTTTAAAATATATGTATTTTAAATGTAACAATTAACATGATTTCTACTCTACATAGAAACACAATATTGTCTTTTTAAGATTACATATTTTTTTTATAATGCATTAAATACAAGTTTCATAAAATATTTTTTTGTACACTAAATAACATTCTCCATTATGACAAACTCCCCTTCCCTTCAAAAATTCTGAAGAAACATTATCTACTACTATCTCCTGCGGATGTGAGTCTATTTCCCAACCACTGCACAGACACTGGTATTTGATTTACACCAGTGATAATTCCACTCAGTTCCTCTGCTGTAATAAAGACTGATGCAGACAGGCTGCGGCAGCTCTTTGTGAGTAAATAAAGGGCATTGGTGCCAGGTTGGGTCATGTTTCCAACACCACTCTGATCTTTTGTTCTCCACCTCATGTTCTATATTCATACATGATGTACCTCTCGGCATATGTAAACTGAGATGACTGTACTATTCCAATGGTAAAAGCACATAAAGTCTTATGTAGTAGCTTTGCTTTACTTCTGGTCTCTTCTTTTGGAAAGTGTCACCTGCTCTGAGTTCATCAAGGTCTAAATGACCTGTTTTCTACTAAGGCATTGTGTTAAACATAGCTACGACTGATATATACTGTACTGCCCACGTCCACACCCACCTACCTTGGTGCTGTCCTGGCACTGGAACACAAAGCAGGCACAGTGGGGCTCCTTTTTGACCAGACATCCGAAGCTGCCAGGATCCTGACTGTTGTGAATGAGCTTGGTCACCTGGTGTGGACGACATTCAAACAGCACTGTGTGTGAGAGAGGATCCCAGACTGCACCTTCCTCCAGTGCTGACCCACACTGAACCCAGGATGTAGATACACACAGAGACACCATCTGATTGGGGGCAAAACTATGCACATGTCCAACTCCAGTCCTCACAGACCGCACCTTCGTACCCGTCTCCTTTCCCACAGGACGCGACCTGCTGATCTCTGCCACCACCCAGGGCAACATGGTCATGGTGGTGAGGTGGTGGACTGGCAGAGAACCAATCAGCTTCAGTTTATACGTTAGCCCCTCATCTTCTTCTTTCTTCTCACCCAGGTCGACTAATTTGCTCCCCCATGATTTAGCCCTCTCACTGATCACTGAACGAGGGGTTTCCTGACATTTTATGGAAGTGGAGAGGTTTGAGAACGATGGACTTGAATGGCGGTTTGAAGTCAGCTTCACAGGCCGATTCTTAGATTCATCTTGTTTGAGCTTCACTTCAAAGTAGAGTCCTTCCATTTTTACATGGCTACAGGAAGTAGTCTGTCTCCAGTTCACCTGTAAAATGTGTTGGTGAAGAGTTTTAAAAAAAGCAACACAAAGAACTCAAAGAACAATGACAGATTGTCAACCGTGAAGAAACAGGAAAAAAAAAACCCTGACATTTGAATCTAAATGTAGTCAAAGGGTCATTTAGAGGGTGTTCCACCAAACAACCACCTGCTGTTGTTTACCCAACTACATGCACATGGCTTGTTGTCTAATGACCTAAGCTTTAACTGTCAAGGACACACAAACATGACATGTAAATTATGTAGCTCGAGGTATGGTAAGTAATACTGTACTATGTTCCATCTGTATGCAATATTCACTCTTGGGTCAAATGTTGATGAAACGTCACTGAAAATCAGTCAGCTTATTGGACATCTTCATTTATTGCCTAATTTCCTGTTACATTTATTCCAAATACGATTTTGTATATCTTTTTATTTATATTTTTCATGTTTAAACTGATGGTCACCTTATGTTGTGTTTTACCCTGCTTATTTTGTATAAGTGTACAGAAGGAATTGTTATTTTATCCTTTAAAAATATAATTTCCCTGAGGTGGGATTACAAAAAATCGTTTCTTGTATTGTTCTATTAAAACCACACATAAGACAATCTTCTACAGAGAACCGAATCGCAACGAATTCGCTTTATATTGTGTTTCCAAA